TTGGCTCCCAGGGCAGCGCCAGGCATGATACAATCACTCAATAAAAGTATTTCTAATAAATGAATGGATCTTACCCTAGGTTTTATGTGGCTTGAAATTAAGATCTTTATCCTTGGCATGAGAGATTTTTACCTTCATTTATTTTTTCCAATGAGACGGTTGTCCAAAAAACATTTACTAACAGTTCATACCTCCTCCATTAATTTCAAACACTCCTTTATCACACTGTATTCTAATACAAGGATGTCTTTCCAGAGGCTATTTTGTTTGAGCTGTTTGTCTGTCCCTGTGTTGGCATCATACTATTTTGGTTGCTCTAGGTAGGGATTGTCAGCCACATAGATGGCATACTCAATTTGAGTAATTTGAAGAGAGTTTAAGCAATGTACTCTTTATTTGGCCAGATCCTGCAAAGTTCAGGGACACCACCAGAGCTAGTTCACTACTCTGTACTATTAACTACATTCCCTAGGCATAAATAGGCAAGAGGGGGCTTCTGCCAGAACTCAAAGAATCATAGAGAAGCAGGCTGGAGGGTAGCAGTGCCTTTGGTGTAAGGAATGGAGAGAAAAAAATACCCAGACCTCACCCCCCTCCCTGCCTCCCATGTCCTGCCAATGCATCCTGTTGGCTGAACCCAGTTAGAGGCAAGAGGGCAGGGGACCTGGAGATGTGTTCCCGACAGGCCAGACCCAGGGCACAGAGCAGGGCAGAGTGTGGACAATAGATCTCCAGGACAAATGAAAGGCACCCAGCACACAGGAAAAGTCTCTGCTCAAAAATTCCTTGACTCTTCTTGTGCATATGTTTTACTAGTGAGCACAGTCTTATTACACAGTTTGTTAATATTAAAACCATTCTATTCTTAGAATGTCTTCCTGTTTGGTCTGTTGGCACTTACCTACTCCTAGCCAGCTGTTCTGTTTCTTTGGTGCCCGTTTTCTGCTTCCATCTGAAATCCAGTGTACTTCCTTGGAATTCCTTGTCTGCTCCTCTAGTCCACACTGACTAGTTAGATTCTGCCCTGCTCATTAATGGGGCTCCTGTTCTTGGTGGACTTTGAACTTCCTTAGGAGAGGAAACTGTATTTTTTAGTTTCCCAGAATGAAGTACAAAGATTCTGAGGCTGCAACTGGTCAAACAAGTGCTGTGATGAGTTAAGAGGGCCTGCTGTTATCACAGGAATGAGATGTTGCCGCTCATGTTCTTGCATTTGCTCTCTTGTCATCGTGTGCTTGGCTTTGGACCACTTTGCTCTTTCCGTGAATGGCTGACTTCCCCTTTACCATAAATTTGAGTCTTTCTTATCTTGTTTTTGCCCAGCCCCCATAGAACAGTGAAAGAAGGGAATGTTTCCATCTTCTGTAGGATAAAGCAAGCTCTGATTTTGAAAGTACAAGAAGAGAAACCCTTACTGCAACTTAGTAGAGAAATTTAAAATCATGTGAATCTAAAATTTCATCCTCTGAAAGTCATTTATAACCAGTTAGGAAAAAAAACACAAAAACCTGAGAGTAGAATACAGTCATTCTTCCCTGAACACTCTGTCTTTACCATTCAGGAACTTGTGCGGCATTGAGTAGAAGGGACTTTCCCTGTCACTGAGACCCTCTCCCTTCCTTTACACAGGAGCCTGTATATTCAGAAAGGGTGTGAGTTACCCACACAGTGGCAAGTGGTGGAGCTGGAGTGAGAACCTTGTTCTCCTGAGCCTACATACGATCGATTACCAGCTTGTTTTTTACTTTAAACCCAGAATTGACTTTCTAGTATAGATAGCTAGATGTGGGTGTGGATTAGGTCTACTAGATTGGAAGCAACTTGGAGGCAGTAACCAAGACTTATCCTCCTAAATCCATGTAGCCATGCATATTTAGAGTGTATGCTTTATACACCAAATGAGTTTATTAAATGTCTGTTGAACTAAGTAGATCAATGCTCTGTGTCGAAGAATGAAAAAGAAGAGCTAAGGAGTTTCTGCAGACAAAGGCTTTCAGGAAAATGAAATATTGACAATATTTAGTTGAGAAAAGGTGTCAGAAGGGTTCTGATGGGTTCGTGATCATGAGGATTATCTTGACAATTTGTCATTCACTCAGTGGAGGCCTGTATAAGGAAAAAGACTATGAACAAGTTATGCTGAGAAATGTTTGGTTTTAGGGTGGGGGCATTTTTATTTTGAGCAGATAAGATGTTCTCTGAGGCTCTTGCAGTCTGGGTGGGGAGTACTGGGAGAGAGAAAATATGTTATGGGCTGATAATAGAAGTATTGCCAACCAGATATTATTTCCAGAGAAGGCTCTCAGCAAACACATTTCTTCTTTTTTTTCCAGGGAGATGTTCCGGCACTTTTATTTTTCTTTTTATTGAGTTGCTCTGTGTTAGTGAATGGGGGGATTGCAGTTGAGCTGAAAGTGCAGAGGGATCTCCTTCCTTAATTCCTGAGCGCTCTGGGAAGCAGGAACCATCTGGATGTCAGGAAAGGAAGCGCAGAAGGAGCTCCTTTTTGTTTTGCTTCAAAGACTTTGAATTGATTGTTAAAATCATTTTAACTTAGAAGCCTGTGTTTTCTTTGATATGGTATAAAGGGAGGTGATTCCAGGGGCTCTGTGATAGACATATGCACCCGCAGCTGTTACTCTGTGTTTTGACTCTCCCCCAGCTCCCCACATCCACAGCTCTGCAAGTGCCTGCAGTGGGGAACTCCTGACCCATCCATTTGGTCCGTGGTGCTTGATCTATACTCTTGCCAGGTGGTTTGGCCCTCCTCTGAGACAAACATCAATTGCAGAGATCAGAGTGGGCTGGTTTTTGAAGAGGTTTTTCATATTCTGCTTTGCAAACCAGCTGAGAGAGTGGTGTTCCTTTTATGTTTCCATTCCATCTGTCCCTTGAGAGGGCAAGGAAGGGTCTTCATGTGGCTGGGAGCTATTGATGTTGGCTGCAAATTCACTTCAAATTAATTTCTACACTTTGGTCATGGGCATCAAACAGCCATTGTGTCAGCTTGGTCTGGACATTGCTGTAGCAAGGCTGCCAGCGAGCAAGAAAAGTAGTTTCTGTGCACTCACTAATGCAAGACAAAGGGAAAGTCTCATTTATCATGGAGGTTATATTAAATGTGGTTCTTAGGTCTTCCCTTTGTGTAGTACTGTGTCCTGAGTAATGGTTCAGGTATTACAAAATTACATTAGTTTCCTTGTTAAGCTTCTAGTGATATCTCCTTAGACAACCGTAATACATTTATTGACTTCTCACTGTGTGCCAGACGCCATGGGGTTTCACCGACACTTTCCTATTTTTAAAACAACCCTACAAGATGGTTGTTATTATCCTTGCTTTATAGATGAAAAAAAATAAAAAACTGAGGCTAAAATTTAACTAACCCCCATGTCAGGTTTGTGTATGGGAAAGGCCTTTGGTTTACAAAGTCTAAAGTGTGTTCTTTCTGCACTTACCAGGAGGCCATATGTGAGCCAAATTTAGCCCACTACCTGCCTTTTCTTTATTAAGATATGGCCACACCTATTTGTTTACATATCATCTATGGTGGTTTTCATGTTACTTGGCAGAGTCAGGCAGTTTTGACAGAATATACAGTCCACAAAGCAGAAAATATTTAATACCATCTAAACCTTTAAGAAAAAAGTTGGTCAACACCTGCTGATAGTGGCCAAGTTATTAGCAAATAGGACTGTTTTTCCGGCTGTACATTGTAGGTATAAAACCCAGAGTCTATCATCCGTCTCACCTTTTCCCCGATTTTTATTTCCTTTTGTCTTCTAAATATTTTTGTTACAAACCTGTGGAAGGTAGTGGCTTTTACCTCTGAGTCCCAATGCTGGCTATTAATGGTTTGATTTATTTATTTAGAGATTTCCTGTCAGTCTTGGAATAGACTGTTTGAGACTCTAAATGATTTCGTGAGGTGTATGTGTTTCAGCGGATCATTGTTTCTTGAGGGGAAGAAATCAAGTAGTGTAATAGTGTGATGATTTAGCAAGCTCTGCTGCTTTCATTTTGAAAGGGGAATGTGCCTGTGCTTCAGCCTTATTTTAATGTACTATTACATTTACAAGTTCTAACCCAGGTGGTTTTGAAGAAATACTAGTGTCGGTGTTAGGCTCCAGGCTTAGTGGAGGTTTGCCCAGGAGGAAGTCTGTAGCAAGGCAGTAGTTTTCAAATGTCACTATGTGTAAGAAACACTTCAGGATGCTTGTTAAAAATGTAAATTCCCAGACCTTCAGCCCTGGAGATTCTGAATCAGGAAGTCTGCTTTAGGTGCCTCTGATGCTTTTGAGAAAAAGCCAGTTCAGGTAATGGAGTCATGGCTGAACACAGTGACTCTAGGTCAAATTAGGATAGTATCCACGACTGGTTTTCAGTCCTGGTTCAGTTTACCTTGAACTGTGATGATGCAACTGTGAACTTTAAACATTTGTTTAAGTAAAACAGAATAGAAAATTTAAGCTGCTGTAAATGTATTGTAACTACTTCTTTCCTCCACTCTCATTAATAGTGACATAGCATTTAATGTTTTATGTAATGCTTTATAGTTATAGAGTTCCTCATTATGCACATCTCATTTGATTTTTATGTCACCCCTTGAGGTAGATGTAGCAAGTAGTATCATTTTCACTTATCAAATGAGAAAACTGAGATTTATAAAACAAGTGTTTTTTTCCCCCTAACCTGGTAGAGCTAATAAGCAGTACCTCTAGAATTCCCATACACTACTCCTAATTTCTAGTCTAGCATTACACGCCTTGTACCATAGAGACCTTATGATACCTATTTCAATTTTTAAAGGAAAATAGAGTCATTTTATAACTCATTGCCTTTCAATAAAAAGGATGAGCTGTCCATAGTTAAATACTGTGGTAATCTCCCATAGGTGACTCAGGGTGGAGGCCATCACAGGTGTATACAGATAGGCAAATGAGTTGTCGTTATAGACATTCTTAGCATGGAAGAAGAAATCTCTCTCCTTTCTTTGACAGAAACTTTATAGGACAGGTCAGGAGATGCAGGAGAGGATCATGGACCTGCTCGTGGTGGTGGAGAATGAAGATGTAACCATTGAGCTAATTCAAGCGAACGAGGATTTGAATAATGCAATCCTTGGATGTGAGAGGTGAGCAGGTGGTGCACCCTCTCCCATCCTCCTCCAAGTCTGTTTTTCACCACCAGTTACCCAGCATTCTTACTGGAGTGCCTTCAAGGTCGAGCAGTCAGGAAGATTGAAAACAAGGTCAGGACAAGGCTGATCAGGAATCTGTACTGTCCTGGAAGCTTATGGAATGGCTTTGTAAGAATGCCTGAGGAGTGCTGGCTGGGAGCATTCTCGGGGAGTGTAAACACCCAGCCTGTAGGCAGGGCCCGGATCTTCCTCACCTTATACTGTCTGTACTGAGCACACCATAGGCTCTCAGGGATGAATGGTATAAACAAAACATCTTAGTAAAAGTTAGGTTTACCCTAAGTTGGAGATGGAGAAGGACATGGAATGGTAAGTAGAAGAGGGGAGGATATATTTTAGGGAGAAAATGGTTTATACAAAACCAAAGCAGCCAGTGAAGAAATTTTGTCTGTGAACATGATTTTAAAAATTCTCCATTCAGAAAAGCACAAAGGCAAAAATTTTATATAGTCATAATTTTGTCATTAACGTTTCAGTTCTCTTAAACTTTGTAGTTGTGATCACGTACATATATTTATGTTTCTCCTTTGATTTTATTCACTGTATAGAAGTATTTGTGTATCCTTTGTTTTTTTTAAAAAGCTTTTGATAAACCATTATTTTTAATAGCTGCATAATGCTACATGTTTCACAGTTCACTTACTATTAGGCATCTAGGTTGTTTCTAATGCATTTATTTATCAAAATGATAGTCTTATAATTTGTTGTAATAGTTGAGCCTATAGTAAAAGAAACTACCTTAAATCATATAAACAAATATACACACTTGGAAATTGAAATAAATATAGGAGGTCTGTTTGGTGAGAGTAACAGCCTGATTTAATCCAGGTTGGGAAAATAAAGGTAAGGTTCCTACGAGGAAGTGCCATTTAAGCTGAGAGCTCCAGGATGAGGGGGGCTGATTAGACAAGTAGCAGAGCAAGGGCCTGAGCGGTTTGTGACGCTGCGGGGAAGCAGGACAGACCCAGGGAGGGAGCTTGCTCCCTCAGGCTGACACTGGCTGGTGGCTTCTTCCTCAGTCTTGAAGTGCTGTACAAAAACATACATAGCTTCATGTGGAATCTAAAAAACCCAAGCTCATAGATTAGTGGTTGCCAAGCAGGGTGTGGGGTGGGGAAAATATGTGAAGGAAGTCAAAAGGTAAAACATTTAAAATTAAGAAAAAATACTACAATCACATGTCCTTACGGGCTCTAACTGGATCCTACTTTGACCACACCAACATTGAAAAGCATTTAAATGCTATTGGGGGGAAATTTGAATATGGATGGATGGATATTAGTTACTATTAAGGACTTACAGGGGGTAATAGAATGGTTAAGTAGGTGGTTATGTTGCTTTTATTCTTAGAGAATGCCTTCTAAAGTATTAAGGGATGAAATATCAAGTCTATAATTTAAAACATTTCAGCAAAAGATAGGTAAAGCAAATGTGACAAAAGATACAGTTAATTAAGTTTGGCTGATGAGTACATGGGTGGGTGTTCATTATATTAGTCTCTTTACTTTTCTGTAGGTTTGAAAGTTTCCAAATAAAAAGTTAAATCAATCTGAGTTGACAATTTAGTTGTTTTATAGACGTGACATTATTTCAGTGCTTTTAAAATATTGCGTAAAACAAGGTGCTGAAGGTCTATTATGAGGGAATTGAGGGAAAAAACATAGCTTCAGGCAGATCTGATCTCTTTCCAAACCTATTCATAGGCCTTTTTATCATAGAAATTCTGCAGCTCTGAAATCCCCACACTTTCTATATATCCTTGTATCTCAATAGGAGTAATGTTGGCATTTTGGGTGGGACAGTTTTCCCTTTTATAGCCCCTACTTTATGAAATTCCAGCAGTGTTTCTGCTATTAAACTGGCATTTCTAGACCCCATAGGGGCACCGTTTCTGTTGAGAATTACTAGGAACGTGTAATTGTACAGTGGCTATATTTCCAGCCAGCTGAAGAATGAGACCACTGTGACATAGGGAAAGATGTGAACGGACTTGGGTTCAATTTTGCTGATGATTTCAGACAAGTTGTTTAACTTTTCTAAGCCTTAGGTTTTGTTCCCCTATTAAAAAGGATAATAGTACCTATTTGGAGGGGTTTTGTTTTGTTTTTGGGGATTGAATGTTAAAATGTATATAAAAGCACCTAGTGGAGGGCACATTGACCCTCATTGAGTGTTAATTTTTTGTCCTCCTCCTTCCCATTCATATGCCACTGAGCCTTATAATTTTCTACTAGATTTTTTTTCCCACTGTTCATGAAACAAACCAAGAGAATCAGTGAAATAAAACCAATAGCTATGAAATGACACATTGTTTCCTTCACTACCGCATATTTGTCACCTACCGGTGCCGGTGACAGCAACCGCTCACAGGAAGAGGCAGCAGGGCTTCCGTTGAGGATGTGAGCCCAGTGATCAGTGTTCCCAGCACTGAACAGAGCCACAGCCCTTGCCCTTTGCTTTCTGCAGTGTAAGTCTTTGTAAGTGGAAAAGTATCTAAGGAAAACCACATGGTTTTCAAGAGAGTGAGTGCTGCCTCCTGGTTGTCGTTTTGGAGAATCCTATTACAAACCAGAAAGCCACTGCCTAAAAGCTTCCTCCTAGGGGGAATGTGTGTGGGGCCTAGGTATCGGGGTTGGATTACTTCTGTGAACAGCTCACTCTGCTTTGACTTGGAACCATGTTGGGCCAAAAGTAACTGCAGAAAGGTATTCTTGCCTCTTGAAAAAATAATGATTTGGTGTATTAGTTTTCCCTTGCTGCCATAATGAAGTACTGCGAACTTAGTGGCCTTAAAGAACATAAAGCTTACTACCTTACAATTCCTAAGAGTCCGAAATGGGTCTCACTGGGTAGCATCAAGGTATTGGTGGGGCTGCGTTCCTATTTGGAGGCTCTAGAGGAGAATCTGTTTCCTTAACTTTTTCAGCTTCTAGAAGCTGCCCCTTGGCTCATGACTTCTTTCCTCTGTTCTTCAAAGCCTCACATCGTTATCACTCTCGCTTCCTCTTCTGCTGCCCTTTTCCACATTTAAATCTCCCTCTGTGATTACAGCAGGCTCATCTGTATAGTACAGGATAATCTCCCTATTAAAATCAGTTCACTAGCAACCTTCATCCCGTTTGTCATCTAACCTAACATATTCACTGTTCCATCAATTAGGATGTGGTTATCTTGGGTGGGGGCTGGGGGCTGGGAACATCGTTTTGCCTCTCAGCGTGCCGTTTCCCAAAAATTTACATCCATCCCACATGAAAAATACATTCACTGTATTCCAACATCCTCAAGTCTATACTCGTTACATCCAGGGACTAGTTGTGTAAATTAGGAAATGAAAATTTGTAATTCAAGACTTGATTTGTGAAGGTTGTTCATACCTAGCACATAACTAGCATACAAGAACTCAATGCCATAAGTAGACGGAAGAAAAAACACGTGTTTTAGAAAGGGAAAAATCCTTAAACCTAAGTGCATGTTCCAATTTAGTGTAAGCTTTCAAAGTGTTTAGGTTCATGGAGTCAATATGTTATAACAGTAATACTCTGTCTCTAACACAACTTTTAGTTTGCAAAGCATTTTCCTATCATCCACCTCTATCCATCCATCCATCCATCCATCCATCCATATATATCTTGCCCCTGAATATGACTTTCTGAGGAAGTGGTTCAAATGTTGTTATTCTCTTAAAAACCGAGGATCAGGAAGTCATTTCCATGGTCATGTAGCTACTCAATAGTAATGCTGACACTTGACACTTCTGCCTTCAATTTCACTATTCTTTCAAACCTGTTCTCTTATTTTATGTATTTAACTGCTCCTCCTTTATCCCCAGAGTATAAGTAATATAAAATTAAATTGGTAAAGGTAATATTTTTAGTAGGTATCAAATGTCTTGTAAAAATGAACATCAACAGTGAAAATATGTCAAGTGTATTTGAATTTTTAGGGACTATTTATTTGTAATGGGAAAATTAATTTGTAATGGCAAAATTGGAAACAACTGAAATATTTGAGAATAGGAATAATTAAGTTAAATTTGGGATACCTTCATAAAGTAAAATACATAGCCACCAAAAATTTAATTTCTGAATAACTCAGAAAATGGTCATAACATAATTGAATTAGGATATAGGATTATATAAAGTACAATTTCTCCTGTTTAAAATAGGTTAACTTACAGAAAAAGTACTGGAAGGAAATAAATCATAATGTCACTAGGGACTATTTCTGAGGATGGAATTACTAATATTTTTAATACTTGTCCATTTTCTCAGTTTTCTCTAAAGGCATATTACCTCTATAAACTAGAAAAAAAGTAAAGTACTTAATTGGGAATGGAGTGGGGATGAGGCTGCTTGTCTTTGTCCTAAATATTTATGTATTAAATTGTTAAATATTATAGCATCTTCATGTCTGTTTCTTTTAAATTCTTGCATTTTGCTAATTCAAACAGGTTTGCTCGTAACCAACAAAGGATTTTAGAGCAAAATAACCAGAGAGAAGATGCCAATGTAAGTGTATAGAAATGTTATAAAGTAAACAATTGAACATTTTATGAATTATTCAATAAGGAGCAAGTTTACTTGAATCAAGTCTCAAAAAAAAGACATTGATTAACGTGGAGTGGTTTGGTAGTGTGGAGTATTTGCCTTAATAACTTGATGATACCACATTAGTCCTAAGAGGTCATAAGAAAATCTCTGGTTAGGCAGGGACCTATGGGGGTGGTGAGATGGGATTAGAACTAGTGTTGCCTGTTGAATGGAAATTCTGTCTCAAGATGCATCCAGATTAGCTCTTCCTTTCTCTGGGGAAAGTTTTGGGAGAAAGCCATAATATGCTACCTGACACATTTGTTTCTAAGTTGTGTTTTTGTTTGTTTTGTGTCCAGAGGACCAGTGAACCTTCTGCCCCATCCTGTGAACTCCTTGACATAAGTCCCAGCCCTCCCATGAGTCGGGCCTCTCTGGGAGAACTCAACACCGTGAATGCTCAGCTTTCAGACTTAAGTAAATAAGCAGATGGGTCTTTTCAGACCAGCAGAAGAACTTGATTGAAACATTTCATCTTGGTTTCATGATTACATGCAACTTGAGAAGGACTGAAGTCAGTTTGAATATCAGAAAACTATCAGGAGATGTAATTAATTCTTAGCAAATGTTTAGGTCAAACCCAGTACAGAATGGCACGTAGCAGAGTAGGTCCTTGAAACTCATCGCACAGGCTTAGAATCTCATAGAATTTACCTGGCCTGCTTTATAGAGGTTGTTCAGTTCCAAGACCAATACTTAAATCTACTTTGAACACACACATTATTATTATCTTTGGGTTCCTCTGTTATGCTATTGCATCAGGTAAGAGATTATTTGATGCAGATAAAGTCAGAAATTATGAGGTCTGATCCACATGGTGGTGACATGTAGAGAGAAAAGTGCAGGCTTTTGAATTAGGAGTCCCCCAGTTTTGCCACCACCTAGCCACTCAACCTTTGAGACATTCCCACTTTGGGGTGTCTCACCTAGGATTATGGGAAATTAAGAGTTTGGGGAGGTAAGGGTAAAATGCTTTGTATATACCATAGCATTTTACTTTTGTGCTTGGCAGAACAAGACTTACAAAATTCCTGCCACTGTGGATTGGCTTTGGATTCTAGAAAACCCAGTACAATACTTTTGTTACCTTTACAACATCATCCATGGCAGGGAATTCCTCTCTTTGCAGTTACTATCAATGGTGTTTTTAATTTCTGTTTGAGAAAATCCCATGATTTTATGGTGATAGGAATCTTAATCTCTTTTTGTTTTTTACTGTAGAAAATTCAACAAAACAACTAACTGACAAAGTGTTTTAAAACCAAACAAGTCCATTTTGTGTTCTAGATTTCAGCTCTCCTAGTCCTGATGTGACAGACAACTTGAAGCCCAGTCTTTATCCAGACTTGCTAGCCTTGGAAAATACAGAAACACCCCTGTAAGTATGTCAGTAATACTCTAGAACTAATACCATTTCATTCTTATTACTCATATTTAAGAAAGCATGAATGGAAAACGTAGAGACTTAGGAACTGGACAGTCCTGAGTTAGAAGCTCAGCACTACTCCCTGCCAGCTGTGTGACCTCGGATGAGAAATTTACCAGCGCAAGCCTTCGTCTTTCTGCTAAAGATACTCTTCAGGATTCTTACAGATTCTGTGAGATGCTTTAGGTACCTTTAATATTGGAGTGGGTAATAAGTGTTCAATAAATGATCTGTTTCTGTTATTTTTCAGTGGTAAAGGAGGTAGGGGGGAAGACAAGGGAAATAGAATGACAAGAGGGAAGAGAAATGAGGGTCAAAAAGAGTAATGGCCATGCAATTACAGAACACATTTATATGCCAGGCACTTTGTTGTTTGTCTTTATTCCATTTAATCTTCACAAAGATTCTTGGGTGACTGCTGTTATTATCATTATTCCCATTTTATAGGAGAAAAGTCTGACACTTAGGGAATAGAATTTGCCTAAGTTCATGTAACTTTTAAGTAGCATGTCTGATGAACTGATAGTTCACCATAAAATAAATAGAAACAACCCATAAACATATTCAGTGATGCTCAACCTTACTTAATAATTACAGAAATATAAATTATACTACAATAAAACTGTTTGTAATCTCACAGATTAGCAAAAGTCTGAATGCTTATATGCTTTATTGGTTGTGGAAAGACAGTATCGCAAAATCATGCAATTCTTACAAGGGGCAAGTGGCAATCTCTTAAAATTATAAATGCATTTACTTTTGAGCCTGCAGTCTCATTGTTAGAAATTTATACTCCACAAAATGAGGTATTTACAAGATTATTCTTTACATCAGTTGAGCAATAGCTAATAACTGGGAACAACTCCATTACTCATCAGTTGGGGATTGGTTAAATAAATATCTACATGATGTATTAGTATACTGGTGGTGAAGAAAATTAGGCTCTCTATGTGAGGGATAATAACCAATATATTTATTGTTAAGTGAAAAAAGGTGCAAAGTAATATGTGTATACTATTTTGAATTTGTGTAAGAAAGTGGAAAATATAATATTTGCCTGTTTACATAAATAAGCACATGGTGGTCAAGAAGAGACAGGATAGAGTAGATAGAGCAAAAAATAAACAAGCTGAATTTGCTTTACACCAAAGCCTATGTTTTTTTCCTTTTAAATGTGTATGTTTTAAGTAATAGGCAATGCATTTCCATGATTCAGGGGTCAAAATATAAAAAGATATACAAGGAACAGTACTTGATCTCATCCCCACTCCTGTCCTCCCCGTTTCCCCACCTCTTGTGTCAGACCCTGCTCCCACCCAGGGAACCACTTTGTTAGTTTCTTATTTATCTTTTCCAAGTGTCTTGAGGTAAATATGAATATGATTTTTTCCCTTTATTAAATAAAATGCAGCATGCTATACATACTTTTCTAAACCTTGTTTTTCACTCAACATGTTGGCATATCTTGATATAAAAACAAATTGTTTTTATATTAATAGATTTAGATTTTGGCGGGTTGCCTAGTGTTGTATTTAAACACTTATGTACCCAATTTCTGAATTATGTTATTCATGTAAGAACCATACAGCATATAATATTTATAGAAAAGGCTGTGTAAAATTGGTGTTTGCTTCATGTATTTTGAAGCTGTTAGTAAGCATATCTGCATGCAGGATTGTTAGGTCTTCTTCGTGAATTGATTCTTCTTTATGAAGTGTTCCTCTTTGTCTCTTAAAATTTTCTTTGCCCTGATATCTACTTTGATATTTATGTAGCCATTCTGGCTATAGCTTTTGATTGGTGTTTGCATGATACATCTTCTTCCATCTTTTTACTTTGAACTCTATCAAAATATTTTAAGTGAGTTTCTTGTAGATAGTATATAGTTGAGTCACATTTTTATGTAATATAATTTGTCTTTAATTGGTGTGTTTAGACCATTTATTTTTAATGTCATTATATGTTTGGCTTTAGGTTTACCATTATGTAATTTTTTTTCTGTTTCCTCATTCCTGCAGTCTTTTGTCTTATTTGAATATTTTTAGTATTCCATTTTATATATTGTGAGTTTATCTGTAACCTTATGTAGTTTATGTTATGGAAAGTGTGGACTGGTTGCTTTAGGGATTGCAGTATACATACTTTTTTCATCTACTTAGAACCAGTAAACACTTGAAGAGAAATGTAGAGAACTTATAGATCCTCCCTTCAGTTATTGTATATATTACCTCTGTATGCTTTGGGAAAAAAATATGAACAGTGTTACAATTTTTGCTTGCAACCTTTAAATGTATTTTAAAGAAGTCAAGAAGAGTAGAAAGAGTAGAATAATTTATTTACCCAATATTTACCATTTCTGTTTCTCTTATTTTTTTCTGTATAATTTCCCCTCTTTCTGAAGAATTTCCTTTAGTAATTCTTTTAGAGGAGGTCTGACTCCAGTGAAAATCTCTTTAAATTTTACTTCATGTGAGAGTCTTTATCTTGAAGGATAGTTTCACTGGATATAGAATTGGGAGTTGACAGTTCTTTTCTTTCAGCAGTTTTTAAACATTGCTCCACTTTCTTCTGGCCTAAATGATTTCTAATGAGAAATCTGCATTCATTCAAAGAATTGTTCCCCTACCAAAAATGTGTTGTTTTCTCTGGTTACGCTTTCAAGAATTTTTTTTCTAATTTTGAACAGTTTGATTATGATGTCTCTGGGCATGGATTTCTTTTGGTTTATTCTGTTTTGGGTTTGCTGAGTGTATTAATTTCCTGTGGCTGCCATAAAAAATTACCACAGACTGGGTGGTTTAAGACCACAGGAATTAATTTTCTTACAGTTCTGGAGGCTGGAGGTCTGAAAGCAGGCCCATACTCCCTCCAAAACTCTTAGGGGAGAAGCCGTTCTTTGCCTCTTCCAGATGCTGGTGACTGGCATTCGCTGGTTTCCTTGGCTTGGGTCACATTGCTCCACTTTCTGTTTCCACCTTCAGGTTGGCTTCTCTGTGTGTCTCAAATCTCTCTCTGCTTTGTAAGGCCACTTATTACTGGATTTAAGGCTCGCTTGAATAATACTGGATGCCATCTTCATCTCAAGATCCTTAACTTAATTACATCTGAAAAAACCCTTTTACCAAATAAGATAATATTCACAGGTCCAAGAAATTAGGGCAAGGACATACTTTTGCGGGAGACCACTGTTTAACCCACTACACTGAACTTGTTGAATCTGTGGTTTTATGTCTTTCCTCGGATTTGTGAGGTTCTCAGCCTTTATTCAAATATTTTTTCAGCACTACAGTTTCTGTTGTCCTTCTGGGACTTTTGATGACACAAATATTAGACTTGTTGTCATTGACTTATAAATCTCTCAGAGTTCTTCTTGGTACTTTTTTCACTCTTCTACCCATCCCCCCCTTTTTTTAGGTTGGATAATTTCTATTAATCTGTGTTCAAGTTCACTGACTATTGCATTTTTTAATTCTAAAATGACCTTTTGGCTCCTCTTTATACTTTGTGTTTCCTGGCTGAGACTTTCTATTTTTACATTTTTTCCAAGAGTGTTTGCAGTTGCCTCTTGAAGCATTTGTTTAATAGCTGCTTTAAAATCTCAGATAATTTCAACATCTATGTCCTTTTGATATCAATGTCTGTTGTCTTTTCACTTAAAAGTTGAAATTTTCCTGACTTCATATGCCTGATAATTTTGGATTCTATCTTGGATGCTTTTAATACTGTGAGACACTTTCTTTTATTTAAATCCTGTCAGGAACGTTGATATTCTTATTTTAGAAGGCTAACAACCTATTTAAGTTCATGCTGCAGTTTCAGCCTGCCTTCTGTGTACTGTAATCCCAACATACTTATATTTTCAAAGCTTTGCAGTGTTCTTCAGATCTTCCTCACACATGTACCATCCAGGGGTTAGTCTGAGGTCTGGATGGCAGGTAGTGTGTTGTTCTCAGCATTTTTGGCATCCTGACTGGGATCAGATCCATGAATACACATATCAGGGGGTTAGCCTCGGATCTCATAAACGACTTTGAAGTTGTCAGCCCGAATTCCTCCCTCTTCGTGATTTCTCTGGTACTTTGCTTTCTTAAGATTTCCCCTTTCAGTTCTCCAGGCAGAAAGCTGGAGCTTTAGTTACTCTACTATGCCACAAATTTTGTCAACTGGGCTTTTGTCTGGAGCCAAGTAGAAGGACAGAAAGGAAAAAAGACACATGGAAGTTTGCCCCATCCTCTTGGGGTCACAGATGCACCTGTTGGAGAAGACAGTTCTCCTGCAGGCCCATTGACTCTGCTGTCACTGCAGCCCCCACAGGATTGTCTAGAGCTTCGGGTGTTACAGAACAGAGAAGAGAAAAAAACATCAGGGGTGAGGGGGCTGAGTGATCTCCACACCCTTTCTGAGTATTAGGATTTCCCTTTCCTGCTCCTTGAGTGAGAATGAGAGGGCTTCTTCTGTTGCTGTGTCTGTCCTCACTGCCCATTTTTGGGTTTTAAACTGCATTGCATTTAGGTTAAATATCAGAGGGGCAAAAACATGGTAATAATTTACCAATAGGATTCAGTGATAGTTAAATTCTGGTCTTCTTTCCCAGTCAGCCTGTAACTATTTACTTTTTAGTCCTCAATTATTTGTCGCATCCATTCTGTCCAGGTTTTATAGTAGGATTCAGTGGGAGAGAGAGGTTGAAGTGTGTATGTTCTGTCTCACCAGAACCAGAGCCCTCCCCACTTCCTTCCTATCCTCTGTTCTGCTTCAAAAAATGGAGTGGTAGCTGCTCTGATGGAAAGGCTGAAGGCTCTGTTCTTACTAGTGTCCTAGGCACATGCCAGGACCTCAGGGCTACTACTGCCAAGGGACAGTGCTTTATCTTTATTCTTTGTTATGTGGACATCATTATCTGGTGGGCATTGAAACCAGATAGCAGGTGTTACATAAAATTAATACTTGTGTGCAGTGTGCAGATACTTTTTAGGTTTTGTTTTTAGACCAGGAGAGTCATCTTACTTTTTGCATTTGCGTTCTCACTGTAGGGTAATCATGCTGTGTTATCACACTATCCTAGGTTTGCCCCAAGGACCGGCCAAAACCTTGCCTCAGGTCATACATATGAGAATGTAAGTAATGAAACCCTTCTTTGACAGTGCATCTAGTCAGCAGTTTATGATGGCTAAACAGGAACTAGCTCCTGATCATTAATTCTCATGTTCTGCTCAACATTTCTTTATCCCATGTTGCTAGAACCCTTGTTAGGACTTTTCCCTATCTTTTTTTAAATCTCTTAAGATAGACAGTTGGAGTCACACTTCTGTTAGAAAGATGATTAAGAATCAAAATTGCTTCAGTGTTGTTTTTATCAGCTGTCTCTTCTTTCCTCCCACCCTCTTTGACAGACCTCAGACAGGCTCTCATCCCACACTACTGGCGTAGCTCTTTTCAAGGTCACCAGTGGCCTCCGTATTACCAAGTCTCGTACTGCATTTTTCAGTCCTTATCTCACCTGATTCACCAGCAGCAAGTGACAAAGCCGATCACTTGGGGCTTTCAGACACCATTTTTGTTCTTTCCTTGCCTCACATCTACTTCTCCATCTCTTTTGCTGACTCCTCCTCCTCTACTGGCCTTTCAGTGTAAGAGACCCCAGGGCCCAGGCTTCAGACTTCTCTATCTGTTCATTTTTCCAAGGTATTTTGGTCTCCTGTCTTGAAATACCATCAAATTCTAACAACTTACAATTGGTATCTCTAGCCCATACCCCTCTAAATGT